AAATATGAAAAAAGAGCTTCAATCTGATATAAAAGATGATATAATAGATTTTTCATCAACCCAAATATTCTGAGTAACACTAACAAACTGATAAGACAATATAAAAATGTTGGAACTTGTTATCTTGAATTAATGTGTTCTTTTACTAAGAAATTTATTATTCCACATAATACATGTAAGCCATGTTGTGAAATGTCAAACTATATATATATGTGTGTGTGTATATATATGTATAAATTTCCATCATTGGAAATTCTGTGTATTCTTTCAGAATATTTCTTCTGTGTTTACATGAATTTAAATATATATTTTTAAAGAATGGTATCATAGTTCTTTTGTCTCCTGGAACTTGTTTATTTACAATGTAATATGGATAACATGCAAAAATATTGCTTGTAATCTCATATTCTCTGTAATTACTGTTTACCTTATCCCTTTCATTGGAAGTAAGTGTGTTCATTGACTGATAGGTATTTAGGTACCTGAGGGAACACACTATATATAAATATGTGCTTATGTAAGTTTTTGTATGACAGATCACAGGTGTAGAATTACAGGGTTAAACAGTATATTTAATTTTATTTGAAAGCTTTATTGTATATGAAACTTCCTAAAAATTGCTTCCTCAGGTTCTTTTTGGTTTAATAGAAGGAAATGTCTTTAAAACCTGAAGGGTATTTATGTGAAATAAAGCAATAATAAACAATATTGGCCCAATAGTCAAAATTTTGCACTTGAGATTGGGACTATAAGAATGTTCACTATTCTGTTTTAATCAGTATGGTCATGGATTTCTACCCATGCCATAAATCCAAAAATAAAATTAACATTGTTAATACAAAGAAAGTGCTGGAAGAGAGCAGAAGGTTGGACCTTGGACTTGATTGGGGTCCAAATCAAGCCAAACCATAGTGTAGAAAATGTATGTGTGCACATAAAGTAGAACCTAAAGCTGACATTAAGAAAAAATCAGAAATTTATTAGAGAAACTAACATACTACAAAGGTGGTTTGCCTTATCTTGCTGAACTGCAAATATCTCACTGTGATGTTACTTCAAAATATTTAACAGAATGACCACATCCCAGGAAATGAAGCAAATTTACATTTTAAACACTTATTTCTGTAGAATATATGTGATCATTTGAGGTATAAATAATACCCAAAGAATGTCTTAGTATACAATAAAGTGACCTCAAGTACATCATCTGTAATTAATTTGGAAGACTAAGTTTACTACTCTTTAATTCCAGACAGGATCGAACAAGTTAGAAAGCTTTAGATTGCGGGAGGTGAAAGAAAAGCTGTCACTAAATCCCGTGACTTATGTTACAGGACGCATGTTGAAGACACCCAAGTGCTGAAAACACAAGGCCGTTCTCAGAAACACTACTTGAACCAAGTAATAGCTTCTGTCATCCACCAAATTACAAGAGAAAAGCCTCTTATAAAACAGAGTGCAGGTGTTCACAAGTATTGTAGAATCATTCTCAGGCTCTTCTCTATATTCTTGAAGAATTTTCAAAACTGTAATTTAGAATATGGCAATCCACATCATTTTCAGCTCAGACTTTACCAACCACCCAGTCCTTCACAAATGTGTCATCAATTTGCAGCCCAGGCCAGGAGGCCCCAACATGCCAGACTGTTAAAGAGTCTCACTCTTGACTGCTGTCAGGACAGCAGTACCTTCGTGCCCTTCTGGGATTGCCTGTCCTTAGAGTTTCAGGCTCCCTGAATGTCTTGGTTCCAAATGTTTTAAAGGGTTGTGAGAGTCATGTGGATGCAAAGGGGCCACATGCTACACCTGAGAAGCTCAGTGGAGGCCTGTGTGGGGGCTTTACTAACTTAAAACCTGAAGTACCTGCAAAAAATGGTCTGAAATGAAACGTTATTAACTAAAATAATTTATGTCAAGTAGTCACAATCTAGGCCAGTCTCTTCTCTGATAAATGTCAGTCGTTACCTTAATTAAGCCTGTGAATCATCTTTTTGCATCTATGATAATGTACTTTAGAATGTCAAAGTAAATTCTTTTTCCTTGATCCCTTCCAACACAGATACTGTACCACAGCACCAAAGAGGAGGCCACAAATCCCCTCATTGTTACTGAGTCAATTGTTGACTGTTAACTCCCCTGCACTCACGTATGCAAAAGAAGTGCAGGTCTATCATTTTGCTTTTCATCCAGTTCCAGAGGTTTCCCAGCTTTGCTTTCTCCAGCCTCCCTAATGTATCACTGATGGATTTCATGGACCCACTACATCCTCTCTTTTGAATGTAGTGTATAAAGCGGGGTGGACTATTGATGTTTTGCTTCCCAGCAATTGTCATCAGTTTGGCTGAAATACACTCATGAAAATTCCTACAAGGAGTAAAAATAGCTCAATAAAAATTCTTGCAGTTTTGTATATTTCTTACGTTGAGAGGCATGAGGCAAATAACACACATCTACCTGTTCTTGAGGCTGATGTGGGGTGAGGTGACCCAGAATCCACAAATTGCATATTGAGGTTTAGTTGGCGACAGGATCTAACAATTCTGGGCTCAGCCAGTGTAGGGGGTGATGACACTTATCCTTGGCTGAGGTGCCACAGAAGGCTTTGTTTGCAGATCTGCAAGTCAGTCTCAGTGGATCACTCTCCCCAAGCTGCACAGTCGGGATGGGGTTCCACACCTGAATACAGCAAAAATGTCCTCTGACAGCATCCAAGGGCAACAGGCTGCAGTCGTACCAGGGGTCCAGACCTGCAGCGATCTTCCACACTGTCAGCCCCTGCAGGCAGCCCAGGAACCCACTTACAAATGATCACCCTGACATCCACACAGCTGGAGGCAGCTGAGGGAACACCCAGCGATGGCAAGGCCAGTTGTCATAGTGGCAGATTGTGTTTTGGTCCTGGTAGCACCAAGTGCTGGTCACCAGGACAGGCTGGTTGGACAGCACCCACCTTTGTTAACCAGGTAGGAGTTTGCACGTTTTCAAAGCAATTAGCCAGCACATCAGGGCAGCAGCCTAGGTCTGTAGTGGTGGCTGATGTATGCATTGGATCACACCGCACACAATCCAGGCAAAACCAAGCCAGCACTGATAGGTGAGGCAGCGATGACTCAGGCCTGTCAGATCTTTGGTGTAGGTTGCCTGGTGCAGCGGTAGTTGCACACCCTGCTCAGGCAGGACTAACTGCCATCTAAGCACAGAATCTCACCTTGGAATCTGGAGGTGTTGGGTCACAGAGGTGACACAGGAACCAGCTGCCCTGGCTCCTGCTGTGCTGGAAGAGCCACTGCCAGCCTCTGCTTCCTGGAACTCAGGGGCTCCTCATGCTGGGCAGCTTGGCCCCTCCAGGTGAGTGCTTTCTGGCAGCCACTGGGTCTCTTCCCCCATAGATTCTTATGTTTGATAAATATCCTGTGAGTCACAATGTATTGACTCAATTTACATTTAACTAAAATCAGTAGCTTTGCCATCTTTTACATGTTACTGGCCAATTTTTACTTTTGTGACTTGTCTGTTCATATGCTCCATTTATTTTCATCTTGGAATGTTTGATTTTTGTTTGTGATTTATCTGTTATATGTGTTACAGGATAGGTTTGAGGAAAAATAAGCCTGTATGCATGATGTAACATTAGGATCTACTATGGCACTACGTTACTTCTGTTTTCCTTTAAAGTTGTTTTAAATCATTAGAAGAGTTATATGGAAATTTCAGTGATAACCTTGTTCAGTGATAACACCCATGACTGAAGTTTTATTTTGTTTCTAAAATGAATGCATGCTTATCCTGGAGAATGTTTACTGGGAGATTTAGATTTTGGTCTTTTTGACCAATAAAGAGAGGAGTGTGCTCTCCCCTGGACCACTTCAATCCTGTTGCTTTAGGAGGGCTTTGAAAAATCCTTGTGATTTGATTTTTCTACTTCAATAAAATTTACATGATTTTTGTATTTTTTTGCACTGGTATTGATTATGGTCTGTCATAGAGTGCCTAGGTTTAAAAGAAAGAGATGAATTTATTCTCTTTTTTTGTCATGTTAAAGGATTAAAGTTTTAATATTAGGTTAATGGGAGGGATGGGATAGGAGGCCTCTGAGGAAAGAGAGAAGGAATGAGACATGCAGGTCTAGTGTGATTATGGGGAATAATAATCATTATTTCAAACTCCCTTCAACTGAAACCTTGAATTGCTCCCCATATCTGCATGTAGATGAGAGATGCTGCGCTTTGTTTTGCAGGAAGTGGGCATGTGGACACACACATTTGAGAGGACACAAATTCAGTAAGTCCCTTTAGAGTATGGGTTCTACATGATCAAATTGACAATTGGGAGTATACACCCATTATTAAAAGTTGAAATGAGAGTGAAAGCAACCAGATGAATCTTTTTAAGAGGCTCTGAGGAAAAGAGAATTAGTTACTGAAACCAGTTGTTCATAAATAGCTCTATTTTGTAACAGGAAGTGGCTAGCTGTTGTTATATTTCTAAATCCATGTACATTTTGATGGCAAATTAACTTAAACTAGTTGAAAGCAAGCGACATGCCAGTCTTTAAATCACAAGTGATGCTGAGTCTGGATATACAGCAAAACCAGGGAGCATTACAGGTCTCCTAAAATCAAATGGAGAGGTGAATCCTTGTACAAAGTTCTAATTATTGAATAGTTTCTTTTCTTTTTTTTTTTAAAGATTTTATTTATTTTTAGAGAGGGAAGTGAGGGAGATAGAGAGAGAGAGAACCATCAATGTGCGGTTCCTGGGGGTTATGGCCTGCAACCCAGGCATGTACCCTGGTGGGGAATTGAACCTGTGAAATAGTTTCTTTAGTAAAAGATGAGACTACAGAATTTTGCAGTAAAATGTAGCTAAAATATTCTGAGTATTTGTGAAATAATATTGGCATGTGGACAGATTACTTATAGTTCTTGTGTCCTTGTGTAATGCTTGAGACAGTTAAACTTTTCTTCCTGCACATCTTTAAAATTGGAATAACACAGTTATTGTTTTACTTGTTTCATTTTAATCAAATTAATCTTTGGCATGACAGATTTATAAACCTTAAAGAGGTAGAAATCCCTTAAAAACAAATTTTGATCTAAATCACGGGAAAACAGATTGAATGAGAAGCTAATTTGTGAAAAGTCATTTTGTCCCAGGAGAAGCAACTACTTCTTGCTGGAATAATAAACTGGGGGTGTCCCATCTATAAGATATGTCAGCTTCAGGCTAGGGAACCACTACTCCCTTTTTCCCTTTTCTGTTTTGGCAAACTTCCAGCAACAAAACAGAACACATTTTACGACGACAAGTATAGCAGTTGCCACACAGGCCAGCAGGAACCCAATCACGTCCAAAGAGTGGTACTGGAACCAGTTGAGGTCATAGGAGGCTGGCCGCAGGTGTTTGGCTCCCTTGTGGCGCATGACAAACTCGATCCAGAAGACCGCTCGATCCAGGGGCTTTACAGGTTGATCGTGGTGAATCCTTGACAATTTCATAGCATTCTCCTTATATCTGAAGGAGAAACACAAAGATACCAACATTGAAAGGAATTAATTTGCCTAAGTGAATTACTCCCATGAAAGGTTTCTGAAGTGTCATACGTGTGCTTCAAATAAATGTCATCGAATTGCAGAAGAGGGATATTTTTATTTGGGTCTTCATAGATGGTTTTGCTTTAAAGTTGACATTTTCTGATGACAAATATTTTACAAAGTGAAGGTGGGAGAGTCACCCTTTTGTAGCAGAGGAATCATAAGAGCCATTCTAATGGCTGTTCGTAAAAGGGACTACACAGCAGGGTGGACAAGTTCAGTGACACAAGGTCACCATGCAGGATGATCTGATCATAAATTTCTAACTGGATGGGTCCTGGTGAGTAGTCTCATTCCAGGCCAATAGCTTCCTTGGTAAAAGGTTAATCTGTACTGTAAAATAGCCAGTCCTTTGTTCTTATGCATCAAGGATAACACACCTTTGAAATGCCCGAGTAATTTCTCAAAGGCATGGCTTTGAGCAGCACAGCACAATGACCTCAAACATCTCTTACTGCCAAAATACCATCTGCATTTACTATAAATGTAAAATGTTACCTATTCTGGACCCACTAATGTGAAAGAAGTATTCTGTACCTGCCAATGTAAAAGAAGTATGTATCTCTCCATTTCACTTTTTGTATTATCCTAGAGATTCCCCCTACCACACCAAAGCCCACTTTCTCCCACCTCCTTAATCTACCACAAATGGACTTCATATAACCTTTCTTAGATTCTCTCCTTTGACTCTAAATGCAAAAACAGAACTGCCATACTGCCATTCTGCAGAACATGTTCTCATCTGTGGATTTGTTTGTGCCATTCCTCGCTTATTGGTTCAAATAAACTTAAAAAATGTCTTTGATAGTTTTGAATATTCTTTTCTATACATAAATCAGGTGGTGAAATGCCGTGTAGGGCAATGCTGTCACATTTTTTGAAGAAAAATTGTATCATGGCAGGAGAAATATTTCATCATTAGCTCTTCAGCTTCTACTCTTCAACCTACTGTGTGTTTCTCACCCAAAATGATATTGCTTTGAAACCCATAAAAGTATGACACTCTCCTGTTCAAATTTCTACTTGGCTTCTCAATCCATTTAGAATAAATTCCAAATCTCTTTAGGACAACCAAACCCTACATGGTATTAACAAAAAAAAAAAAACACCCAAAAACAAACAAAGAAAATCATAGGCTGTAAATGGTGTCACTTTCTTAAATGAATATTATGCCAAACCTTGATTTAATAGCAGATTTAATTGAAATTTCAACTTCTTCCATAAATATAATGCTTATTTACCAGTCTGGAATTTTCTGCTCAGTCCAATGAGGTAATCTGTCACTTGGGTCCTGTACATCTTGCATAGGAAGAAGATGCAATCTGCATTATAAACCCTTCCCATTTAGACAGAAAGGTAAGACGCTAGGAAAATTCCTGGGCAAGTGGAATGAGGAAACTGAGACAAGGTGAAAGGTAAGATGGTGGCCTAGGTAAACAGGGCTTGCCTCCTCACATCACCACATCAAAATTACAGCTAAACTGCAGAACAACCAGTACTCAGAATTGCCAGAAATTGAGCTTAATGGAAATCCTACATCTGCGGAATTAAAGAAAAAAAACACTGAAACTCTTAGTAGGGGTGTTGATGCAGAACAGGTTGGTCTCACACCCACATGGAGCAGATAAAAATCAGGGGTGATATCTCAGAAGCAAGAGGTCCTAGCCCCATACCCGATGTGCCTAGCCTAGGTCTCGGTGCTATGAGTATCAGTCCACATAACTTATGGCTTTAGAAACCAGTGGAAATTAGTGCTGTGGAAGACAGAAACTGCTAGCTTGCTATACAGGTTCTCTCAAAGTGCCCACGCACAGACCTCCTCAGACTTACTGCCTCTGAGGTCTGGCTTGTGAGCAGCACATTGAAAGGCATCAGAGACATACGAGATGGAAGTGAGTTGTCTCATATCAGGGCGATGGCTGGGCAGCAGTTTTCTGCCCAGACAAAAGTGGTGACAGAGGCCATTGGTCCTTTTCTGAACCTTTCTGTCACAGAGTTGACTGACAGATGTCATATATGAGACTCCATCAACCTGGCTCACACTATTTGCTCCACTCTTGTGATTTTTGAGGCTCTGCCCCACCTAAGGTTTGGTCTCCCCCAAGCTGTTAACAGTGGCTTTTTCAACAAATGGCTTGTCTTGGCTCATACCTCAGATTTTCCTAAATTCTCTCAAACAAGTTGCATCTGGCCTCAGTGAGCTCTGTACCTCTTGCTAAGTGGCCAGAGGCCTGGCACCTGCAATAGCTGGTGCTGGTTCACAGCTTGGCCTTGTTTGGACACCTCCACACCAAGCACAAATGGCAGCCATCTGCAGGCTGTTTTGTAGCTTACACTGGGTGTTCCTGGACAGAACACAGGTGGTAGCTGATCTTGGCCTGTACCTTCCAGGAGACTACAGAGCCAATGTACCTGGTGGACAGCTACCTAACATATTGAAGCACCACCACGCAACTGTCTACACAAGCAACACACCCAAGGGGTGGACTCAGCAGGTACCAGAGCCCTGCTCATGTAAGTGCTGCTCTGTGGAGTGGGCCTGTGCACAGCTGATCTTCTACAGTGGTCAGAGGTTGGTGGTCAGTGGTCACAGCCAATCTTTTCATCTGGTTGACCTGGGTAAATCCCTCTCATTGACCTGCCTACAGCAATCAAGGCTCAACTACAAGAGGACAGTATAAACAGTCCACATGGTGAGTGCACCTCAGGTACCCAGCTTGGGTGATGGGGAGGCTGTGTCACTGGACCCTACGGGAAACCTACTACTTTAGGCCACTCTACCAAACCAGGGAGTCATAGCAGATTTACTCACTACATAGAAACAAAACACAGGGAGGCTACCAAAAGAAGAAGGCAAAGAAACATGTCCCAAATGAAACAACAAAACAAAACTCCAGAAGAAGAACTAAACAAAATGCAAACAAGCAACCTACTAGATATAAAGTTCAAAACACTATTTGTATACAATGCTGAATGAACTTAGGGGAAGAGCAGATGAACTCAGAGAGAACTTCAACAGCATGAAAAAGAACATGGAAAGCATAAAACGAACCAATCAGAAATGAATGGTACACTAACTGAAATGAAGAAAAAGTTATAGGGAATCAACAGTAGAGCTGATGAACCTGTAAAATAAATCAGTGATTTTGGATATAGAGAAGCAAAAACATTCAACCAGAACAGCAAAAAGAAAAAAGAATACAAACAAAAGTGGTTAGTGTAAGTAGCCTCTGCTACAACCTCAAGCATACCAATATTTGCATCATGGTGGTGCCAGAAGAAGAGAGAGAGCAAGAAATTGAAAACCTGTTTGAAAAAATAATGACAGAAATTTTCCCTAAGTTGGTGAAGGAAATAAACATAAGTTCAGGAAGTGTCGACAGTCCCAAACAAAATAAACCCAAAGAGGTCCAACCTAAGTCACATCATAATTAAAATGCCAAAGTTTAAAGGCAAGGAGAGAATCTTAAAAGCAACAAGCAAAAAAGCAGTTTGTTACAGACAAGGCAGCTTCCTTAAGACTGTCAGCTTATTTGTCAAATGAAACTTTGCAGGCTAGAATGGAATGGCAAGAAATATTCAGTGATGAAAAGCAAGGACCTATAAGCAAAATTACTCCTCCAGAAAAGCTATTGCTTGGAATTGAAGGACAGATAAAGAACTTCTCAGACAAGAAAAAGCCAAAGCACTTCATCATTACATAACCTGTATTATATGAAATGTTAAAGGGTCTTTTTTAAGAGAAAGAAGAAGAAGATAAAAAATATGAACATAGAAAAGGCAACCAATATGTATCTATCAAAAACTGAATCTAAAAAACAAAGTAAACAGAACAGAAACAGAATCATAGATACAGAGATGGTTTTGATTGATGGTTGCAAGATGGGAGGGGTGTAAGGGGGGTGGGTGAAAAAGGTGAAGGGATTAAGAAGTACAAATTGATTGTTACCAAATAGTCATGGAGATGTAAATGACAGCATAGTGAATATAGCAGCTAAAGAATATATATGCATGATCCATGGACATGGACAACAGTGTGGAGATTGCCTGAGGGAGTGGAGAGGGTCTGGGTGGAGGGGAGCAAAGAGGGAAACATTACGGTAACTGTAATAGTTTGAACAATAAAGTAATTTTAAAAAGAGTATTAAACAAGGTTAAAGAGTTTGAACAACTTACAGAAAGCTGGTGAATTGCAAGGCCTTATCTCCCCTAACCAAGGACATTTGAGAGGAAATGGTTTATACTTCTCCTCCCTAGCCAGAGAATACTTAGATTAAAGCATCCTGGTCTGGGACTTCTTTTGATACTTCTCCTTGCAGCTGAGATATACCACAGGTGTTTAGGGAAGGGAGGAACGATCATGAAAACAGAGAGACAGCACCTGAACAAAGGGAGTGAACTTAGGAAGAAGCTGCAGGACTCCCCTTTCAGCTCCCCCACCTCTTACTCCCACAAAAGACAGCAGGTCAGTGCCCCACAGCCATAGAAAATCACACCAGAAGGAAAAGCCTACCCCCACCATCTCATCCCAAGAAAAAGCCTGAGCATTCAAATGTAGGTGTGACTCTGGTTCTGATTCCCAGAATTTCTACCCTCTACAAAACTGAAACAAATCTTATTTTCATTATTGTCATCCCTGAACTATATTTTTCTATTTTGTGAGAGAAGGATGCAAACTGGTTCTGTGTTTGGTTTGGTTACACAATCTCATTCTTGAAAAGAGATGCCCATTCTAAAAATAATCCTTTTTTTTGCTAATAATTCCTCCACTACAACCTTCTTCTTATACAAACCTTCCATTTTGTACAAAACCTCTTAGAACCCTTCTAGTTGCTAGTTGTTTTTTGCCCCATTCATGAATCACTTAATGCAGTCCATTCGATCTTCAAATTTACTTGGTTGAATTTTTCAGTGTGACAATGGACAGACCCTTGGTAACCACCTGTCCTATCTCTTTTTCCTATGCACACTGTCTTGCCAGCACCTGTGCTTTCGGGCTGTTCACTGAAGCTGCCAAGTGTGTTTCCACCTCAGCACTTTTGTACTTTCCTTTTCCTCTGTCCCCCTCTCAGAGCAGGCTTCCCTGCAACACCCAAGGCCACATTTAACTTCTGACAGAGGCCTTGGGTCAATGTCATGTCTCAGAGAAGCTTTTGCTGACCACACTAATAGCACCCAGGGCATTTCTTCTAAGGTTTTGATTTCTTTCACTTTTTGATCCATAGATCTTTAAATGATTTATGTGATTTCAAATCCACTTGTTTATGAGTTAAGTCTTTTTGAATTCACTTGTTCATTACAAAAACTAAAGTATTTGCTTTGATGTAAGAATGAAGATATTTCTGTTGGGATATCACTCTACATTCGTTTGTTTATAAGCAGAGGCTCTAGCTCCCACCTGGGGGCTTATTGATGAGAAGGTGTGGTGAAGCAACTATGGCCAGGAAACATCTAGGCTATAAATCTGAGAATTTTTAGGACTATTTGAGAGATTTGGTTTGGGCAGAGTGACTCTTACTAACCAAAAATCTCTCCAGAGACCCCTGGGCATTCCTTCCTGTCTTGGCAGCATGGGTCCCTTAGAAGTGGTGATAACCCTCAAAGCAGCCCTTGAAAGAGATCAGCCAGCCTTCCAATTTGTTACCTTTCTCCCTAGCATCCTGCTCCAGCAAGAAGGGAGTTGTACTTTTGTGCTGGCAGTTGGCAATCATTTCTTGGTTGGTCATTGATTCTTTATTAAATTTGACCTTATGCCTTCATCCCCTCTTGCTTGTAACAATAGTGTGATTAACCAGTCATTTGTTTGAAATATATATTACTTCATTATTTGGCTTATTAAGAGATAGTATCCTGTACTCTACCTACATGTGAAATTATAGTAATTTCCACATGAGCCTGTGCTACATAGATTCCTAGAGAAGACAGAAATCAGTCTATGAGTATAACTTGCTACCTCCCCAAAACAAAACACAACAAAACAAAACACTGTATTTTGTAAAGGTATACCCTCCATTTCAGTATAGACATAAGAAAAATGTACATATCCTCAGTAAGCCACTCAATATTTCATATGTTATAATTACTTGGTAAATTGTCATGAAATAAATACATCAATGTGCCTACTACCTAGATACTGATATAGGATACCATAAACTATAAAAGTTTCCCATTTTCTTGGAACTTTTAGTCACAAATCCCTTCTTCAAGTTTCTACTATACTTACCTTTAACATCATAGATTATTTTATCTTCTTTATGTATGGGGATCATATAGTAATAGTTACTAGTTTTTGTCTTCATAGAAATTACTGGCTGATTCCATTGCTGTAAAGTATTCAGTATATGACGATAGCCCATTATTGCATCATAATGTTAAATGGACATTTGGATTGTTATCATATATTTTAGCTATTTCTACTATTGCTGATTCAACTATTGCTGTGTATGTCTTTTGGTTTACATATTTATACATTTCTGTTGTGTATATACCTAGAAGTGAAATTGCTGAGAAGAAGGTGCATGTATGATAATGATTGCAGCATTGACTCTGAATTCTTTAGAAATGTGTCGTTTAATTTTAAAAATTTAGAATTTTTTAGTTTAGGCTTTTTTTTAAAATTTACTTCTAGTCTGGTTGGACATATTCCCTTTACAATTTGACAAATTTCAAATATGAATCTTGACTTTTGCCCAGCATGTATGTTGAATTCCTTATTTGTTTCTTGTGTTCATACTTTATGTATTCAAAATTCTCCACTGTTACATATGTATCTAAAGGTTGCATTTTAAAATTGTGTTTAAAATCTTTTATTGTATTTATTTTTCCTCTTTTTACATTATATAATAAAGATCTTTTTTAAATATACTTGAGAAAACTTTTTAATTTATTATTATTATTATTTTATTTATTTTTTTAAATAAAGATCTTTAAAAACATCCTACTATGATTAAAAACTTGTATTTTGGACTTTTTTGTTTACTTTTACTTTTGTTATTTGGGGATTTATTAATAGGTGTTACCCATTAATAATCTGTATTGTTTTGAAACAACCTATTTATTATTAGAAAAATTTTACCTTTATTTTTAGTGGTACTTCTGGTCCATTGTGTCTGATAATAGCATATGTAAGTCTTTTTTATACTCACCATTGAAATAGATCATTTTTCTATCTTTTTATAATATTCTTGTACACTTCTATTTAAACATGCCCTCTAAGTAACATATAGAGTTATTTTTTAAAATCCAGTCTGGCTTGTGTGTAAGCAATTTAGCCTGTTTACATTTTCTGTGACTACTGACATCTTTACATATATTCATACACAATCTTAGATAGCAATATTATAATATAGGCAAACTTAGAAACAAACATAAATATCCACAAACTAATAAAGAGATATGTAAAATGTGCTATATTTATATCATAGATTATTATTCAGTCCTGCAAAGCTACAACTGGGATGAAACTAAAAACCATTATGCTATATGAAAGAAGCCAGTTTCAAAAGACCACACATTGTATGGTCCTGAAATGTCTAAAAGGACTAATTTATAGAGACAGAAAGTCTAAAAGGACTAATTTATAGAGACAGAAAGTTGATTAATGGTTACTTGTGCAAGGGGGAGGAGAGTGACTTCTAAGGCATATGACATGTCTTTTGGGAAGGGTGAAAATACCCTAAATTGATATTATGGTAATAGATCCATAGGTCTGTAAACATACTATATATGGTTATGTACATAATATCCATAAATCTGTTTAAATGATTAGAAGAAAATAAGTTTTTGAGTATAAAGAGATTTATAGTTTCAGACATGTTAGGTATTGAATTGGAAGATGCTATGATTTATCTTTTAGTTCATGATTATTCCTTGTATGTATTCTATCATATTTTTTTAAGGAAGTGTCTTTGCAATTATCTACAAAACTTTATTTTAGTGAAGAAGAAAGCTGTTGCACTAGTTGGCTACCCAATAAATACATGGAGTTAAAATATAACTTTGAAATAAATGAGTGGTGGAAAACAAAAGTAGACTTAAGATGTCTTAAATCATGTTAATAATCTCAAAATTGGCCTCTTAAAATGGAATGAAGCTCACATGCATCCTTGACAGGAGAACTCTTTATAAATATTATTAAAAAATGAGATACTTACGAAGGGTCATTAATGACTGTCTTCAATGCATTGAGCAAATCTGCACTAGACATTGTGTTGAAGTCCAATCTGACAGCTGCTCCCTTGGCCTTCATGTGGGCGATGTTATCAGGTTGATCCGCAAACAAAGGGAGGCCCACCATTGGGATCCCGTGGTAGATGGCCTCATAGATGCCGTTGGTTCCACCATGAGTTATAAAGGCTTTGGTTTTTGGATGACCTAGAATTATGAATTATAAATCTTGGAATAAAATGAGTGTTTGGAAATAAAGGTGTATTTAGTAACAGATTAGTATGCACTTCAGACTGTATTAAAATGTCTTTCAGAATTCAAGGGAAGAGGCCCCTACATCTTCTGGAGAGAGAGTGAAGGCTTACTTAGAAGATGGGTGTATTTCTGATGACTTGAAAATGAATACAAGTTGCCAGTGGACAAGTTGGAAGAGAATAATCTGGATAAAAATGTAAAAAGAGCATAAACAAAAGTGGTGAGGCATGTTAGAACATGTTCTCTAAATACAATGGTGAAGTCACTGAGTCTGATATGTAGGGTGTCAAGGCGGCATGTGAAGTGATGGTGGTGGCACAGGGTCAGAGGAGGAAAAGCTACACAGCATAAAGACATATATTACTACTTCAGAAAGAGATTTTGACTTTTTTCCAAGAGCAAATGGAGAGTCACTGGTATCAAAAGATGGGCTAATGTTTTTCAAGGGCACTTTTACACCCTTAAGTGGGTTAAAGGTTTGGTGTAAGGAGAAAGTTAGGAGACAGGGTGATAACCCAGAAGTTGTTGAGGCATTCTGTGTGAGAGGAAATTGCACATGAAATAAATTTTCTTTGTGGCCATAAGGAATGTGACTGTGTAAAATAAGATGCCAATTGTTATGTCTTATTCGTTTCCACTTAGGACTGTGAAAAACATATAAGAAAGTTAATTTTTTATTTCTGAGGCTTTCAATAAGAAATGTTCAAAACACTTCTTTCCTAGTGAACTGTTCATCACTCTGGATGAGCTGATGCTGATTTCAGTGTTTTCCAGAGTCTTACCAAGAAGGTCATTCTGGGGGATCCATTTATACAGGCGAGTATTTGGTCCTAATGTGTCTGGTTTTTTGCCTTCATATCTCCATATAACCTGTAGGGTAAAGAAAATCAACTTTCCTTGAGTCAAATTTCAAAATTATGACATGGTAAATCTTAAACAGATTCAGAGACATCAAGTTCAACCCCTCCATCTTACAGATAAGCAAAAGAGGACAAGACATGTTAGATAATGGGAACCAATGAATTACTGACATAAGAGGAGTAGATACTCCTATTACATGTACTTATTTGTATATTCAGTCAGGTATGAGTGCAATCATGATTTAGCAGTTAGATAAATAAGATTATCAATGACTCATTCAAGCATATAACAAGTTTTGGGTAGTCACAATTGTAGTGCAAAACCCAGCAACTTACTAATAACCTACACACTTATATTGTTTCAACTATTTATTATATCAACTTTCATCTTCCAGATTTAATATTAACCTGTTCAATTCTCTCTGTATGATAGTGAAGTAGTTTAGTTATATTCACTAGTTCCATATTCAATTTTATTTGACTATTACATAATTTGAATTATAAAATAAATGCTGTCAGCTATTTGTGAAAATTAAATCATTCTGATGTTAAACAACTTACTATCAACAATAATAATTTCTGCTTTAGGGGTAAATTTAGCTTCTTTAAGATGTCTAATTTTGAATCACTATTCCCTTTATGAAAAATTTCAGGTGACAATTTTTACATGTATTTTGTGTTATCAATCTAGCTAGGATTAGAAATTCTCTTAAAATATATGAGCTTTTGAAAGCCCATTGGCACTTCATAAATAATAGTATAGCTGTTGAAAAGATCAAATTGGATTATAAGGATAAATTTTATTCAACTGACGATTTACACCTCACAATGTGCTGCGATGCACAGCTTTGTCTAACGTGGTTAATTCATGGTAAATGGCCAAGCAACTTCTAAGTCCAGCATCTAAATCAGGTTTAGATTTTCAAGTTTCTACGAAAGTCTCATAAGGCAGATTCTACTTTATAAGTAGTTAACATCTATTCCTTATGTGAGTGTTAAAGTAACCTCAGATTTCCAGCAAATTAGCATAAGTGATAGGGGGAAATCCTCATTAGGTAGAAATCTAAAAGTACCTCACAAATACTCAGAGAGTTCAAGTGTATTTTATGTATTACGTAATTTACTAACATATTTTATGGAGAAGGAATTTGAAGTAGTCCCAAACTAGGCTTGCTTTTGGTTGGCTATTTTTTAACCAGTATATTCCCTTGTTCTTCACGCAGGAGAGGTTATTCTTATGGGTTGTTTCTGGGCCACAGTTTACTAAACACAGGGCCTTCTTGAGGACTGGACCAACCTCCACCCTATCTTTTATGTCTCCTGCTTTAGAATTTATCATGGACCACCCCACCTAGGAGGTTTCTCTCTTGTTTTTTTACAGGCCTGTGTTTCTGTTGCTCTAAATCAATGAGGTTGGCTTCAGAACCTTGCTGAGCCATGGACATCCTTTCTCTGAATATCACTTTGAACAACACTTTGAATAGCTCAGTTACAAAATTCAGAGAAAGTAAGGGAAGCCTGGATTACCTGGCAAGACTAAACTGCATGATGTCTTTCAGACTGTTATCATCCCTAGTTTAAGTTACTGTTAAGATGTAACTGCTCTCTGAGAACAGCTGTAGTGTACACAGTTCCCTAGGATTCTTGCACGAAAAAGGAGCAATGGACAGGGTAGAATTTGGCAATATCTGGACCTGTCTATAGAGCTGTTATAATGCCAGACTTCACCCAGTACCTCTGAAATACACTTCTCTGTGGTCACCATGTTAATGCCAATGTTATTGCCAAACAAAACACCCTCTGCATCACTTTAGCACCTGCCATGGGCACTTTGTTTTTAAATTGCTATCTGAGATAAATTGGAGCTATCATTGGAGTTGACCTTTCACATAGGAATTTCTGCAATCAAACACTTTACAGAGATTAATATACTCATTATTTTTCCACTCTAAGGTACTTTGTCTAACCTTTTGAGGAATCTGGGCCAAGGCTGAGGCAATTGTATTGGCATTTTCTTCAGTCAAGTTAGTGACCATCGACCCCAGGCTAAACACCACAATACCATCTTCTCCAGAGCTCTGGACAAACTGTTCCATTTCCTGTGAAGGAAGAAATTTTCCCATCACAAAAGAGCAACAGCAGAGTGAACACTAGTGAAAGCATTGCTACAAATAACTAAGGAGAGGAAATTACTTATTGTAAGTAGTTACTAGTGTAGTGCCTGTGTTTTAAGACTGTGATAAAATACACATAATACAAAGCAAACATCTTATTTATTTATTACTATGTGTACAGTGGAGTAGCATTTGTATTCTTGTTGTTGTTCAACCCAGATTTGGAACTTTTTCATCTTGCATATGGGAACTGTCTTTCTTATACTGTAATTCTCCATTTTCTTCCCATCTCACCCATCCCTGACAAATGCTATTCTGCTTCCTGTTTCTGTGAATTTGAGTAGTCTAGATAAGTTATATAAGTGGAATACAGGATTTGTCTTCTGCGAGTGGCCTATTTCCCTCAGCAAAATATCCTTAAGATTCAGATATGTTCCAGCATTTGTTAGAATCTCCTCCAACTTTAAGGGTTAGTAATATTCCTCTACAGATAACTCTGATCCACCAGAAAGATGAACAAGTGGGTCTTAGGGCAAATTCATCCTGAAATATCTCTGAAGGCAAAAATCACAAAATTGAGACTTCCATTCTTTGGGCATATGATGAGAAGCCAGGGTTCTTCTGAAAAGCTAATGATGCTGGGAAAACAGAAGGCAGCAGGAAAGAGGAAGATGAAATGTGAGGTCCATGACTCCATAAATGAAGCCATAGGCATGAGGCTACAGGAGCTGTGAGGGCTGCTCAGGCTAGGATTTTGTGGACATCACTCATTCATAAGGTCTTCAGGAGTAGGAGCTGACTCAAGGGCACACAACACACAATACTCCTGTCTGTGTAAATACCATATTTTGTTTATTGATTTATCCATCAATGGACCCTTTATTGATTTATCCATCAATGGACCCTTGTGTTGTTTTCACCTTTTGGTTCTTGTGAATAGTGTTGTTATGAACTTGGGTGTGGAAATATCAGGATTCTTTTGCCATTGTTTTGGATATACATCCAAACCAAGTGGTTATTGTTTTTAATATTTTGAGGCACCTCCATTTTTTTTTCAACCAGTGGCTGTTTTTAACAGACCTAATCCCTTAGTTCCTTTGGAGGACACAATTGGTGAGTTTGAATTCTTTTGTTTCACGTATTTGCACACGTGTGTGTGTGGTGCTGGCTGGGCCATGGGAGATTGCCAGTTGCACCCCTCCATTAGCCATGACTGCTGAAGCCCCAGACTGGAGTCTCTGAAAGCAGTTCACTCTGAATGTCCCAGCTTGATCTGAGCTGCCTACCCTGCAAGGAACTGAGCCCAGCAGGAGGGGTCAAGTGGTATTCATAAAAACAGATCTACTTAGTCTTCTGTTGTGGGTGGTGCTGGCACACAGGAAGGGAACAAGCTGCATGCCTTGCCCTAGCTCTGCAGTGGTGCTTGCACAGACCCAGGTGGAGCTGCACTTTGAAGTTTCTGGCTCTAAGCTGCGCCCTCTGAACTCTTCTGTTCACAGAACCAAACTCAGTAGAATGGGGCCAGGGAGACTTAGAGGAACAGATCAAGGCAGCACTGTGCTGGGGTGGTGCCAGCCCTCTGGAGGGGTCTAAACTGCATGCCTCTATCTAGCTCTGCAGCTGAACATTCAGAGACCATTGAGGGAGTTTTTGAGTGCATTGTGCCACATCTCCCAGTTCTGTGCTGTGCCCTCTTCCTCGCTGTGGAACTGTGCTGGGCAGGATGGGCCCCATGGGTTTGGGAGGGACAGATCAAGCCAGCCCTTCACTGGGGCGGGCAGAGGCCCATGGGAGGGGAGGAGCTGCTCCTTTTCCCTTAGTTCCACAACCATGCTGCCAGAGACCCTGACAAGGACGTCTTCTGTTGAGAGTGGAGCCTGTTTAACCTGAGGGCAGGGGGTAAGATTCATTGGCCTTCTAAGAGTTTACTAAACTCTTAGAAGAACACGCCTCATGACCCTGTGGGTGCAGCCGACAATCCTTTCTGCTTGACTCCAGTGTGTCAGGATGGTATTGCTAGTATTTTAAGGACCAGGTTAGTGCTTGCCCCCTGCCCCAGTTTGTGCTGTAAGAACAGATGAGCCTGACCCTCGACTATGGCTCCTGAGGGTGATGCAGGATGTTGACTTAGTATTGGGACCTCAGTAGTGGACGCTCTGGATCTTTCTCTGGAGGCTCACCACCCAGATCTTCTCTTTATGGCTTGCATATGCCCTAGTTTTGCTTAAGACTACCAGAGCCTTGGGTGAGTGCCAAAGAGTGAGCTTCTGTGTGTTGACCCTTTAGGAGAGCACCTGGGATGCTAACAGGCTCTCCCTTCTGCTTCTAGAGAACAGAGTCCCTGCTGATTGTCACTGCCTGATACTATGCAGGCTTCTCTTTCTGACCCTGGTTTCCTGGTTTGGGGTCCCAACATGGGATTGAGACTCCCACACTCCCTAGGGGAGGCTTTTGCAGCCACCAATAATTCTTTCCAGCTTCTCAGCTGCCCTACCTGGGTGCAGGGGCCAGCCCTCTCTGTGTCTCTGCCCTGATTACAAGTCCCTGTGCAAGCTTCTCCTAGAAATCCTTGGATATAATACTCCTGTTCAGCTGTCTTTCAGGGGGGTCTGTTAAAATTGATTGCTCTTTGATTTAGCTGTAAATGCTGTTTCACACAAGGCAGAATTGTGTGTATCTTCTCTGGTTCTGCAGCCAACTTGGATCCCCACATTACGTATTTTTATTAGAGAATTTATTCCATTTACATTGATCGTAATAGGTGATAGGTGTACTTTTGCCATTTTGGTAATTGTTTTTTAGTAGCCTTTGTAATTGTTTTTGTTTCTTTCTTCCTTTATTGATTTGTCCCTTTGGTTTGCTGGTTTGGTTTAATATTTTGTTTTTGATTTTGTTTTTGTAGGGGGTTCTTTTTCTTTGTTTTTTGGGGGGGCATGTTTTATAGATATATGGTTTGTCGTAACCATGGAGTTCATATATATTGATCTATACATATAGCATTCTATTGTAACCCACATGCATTTTTGTAGTGTTCCAAACATGAAAGAACAGCTATATTTTACTGACCCCTCTATATTTTGTTTCAACATCATATTTTACATCCTTTTATTATTGTGCATTCCCTGTATACTCATTGTTATTTTGCTACTATTGGGTTTGAACCTTTATACTAGCTTTTCCAAAAATTTTTTAATTTTATATTTAAACAACTGTTGACATTCAATATTATTTTACATTAGTTTCAGGTGTGCAGTTTTGTGGTTACATACTTATGTAGTTCGCAATGTGTTCCTCCACTATTTCTAGTACAATCTACCACTGTACATAGTTATTATAATTTTATTGACCATATTTCCCATGGTTAATATTTATTACTGGTTTATTTATTTATTTCTGCTTAGGTGTCTAATTTTGTTGTTGTTGTTGTTCAATTACAGTTGTCCTTGTTTTTCCCCAATACTAGCTTTTTAAGTGGCTGGTCTGTTGTATTTATTATATATTTGGCTTTACCAGTGAGATTTCATTCTTGTCCTGGTTATGGACTTTTTATTTCTGTTTAAAGAGGCCTTTTAATATTCCTTAATAAGCTGGTTTATTGGTGATGAACTTTAATTTTTGCTTGTCTGGAAAATATTTTAATTTTCTTTGATGCTCCATGAGGGGCCTGTCTGGCAGAGTATTCTAGGTTGTAGGTTCTATTGTTTTAGTACTTGAAATATATTTTGCTATAACCTTCTGGCATATAACTTTTCTCCTTAGAAGTCAGCTGATAGTTTTATGATGTTTTCATTGTATGTAACTAACTGTTTTTCTCTTGCTACCTTCAAGATCCTCTCTTTATCATTAGCTTCTGCCATTTTAATTATAACAACTTAGTGAGGATATTTTTATGTTCATCTTATTTTAAACTCTGTGAACTTCTTGGACCTGGATGTCTGTTTCCTTCTCCAGGTTAAGAAAGCTTTTAGCCATTTTTTTTTCAAATAGATTTTCTGCCCCCTTCTCTCTCTGTTGTCTTTCTGGACTCCTCTAATGTGAATGGTTGTATTTTCGATGTTGGTCCAGAGGTCTCTTAAACTATTCTTGTTTTTTTTTTTTGTAATTCTTTTTGTTTTTGCTCTCCTGATTTTCACATTTCTGTCTTTCATGTGGCTACCATATTCTTCTTTATTGTTTAATCTGTTGATTCCTCTTGCATATATTTTTTTCCTTTTAGTTATTGTATTCTTCAGTTCAGATGGTTGTGTTTTATATTTTGTAACTCTTTGCTATTGTTGTCACCGTGGTCTTCTATTCTTCTGTCATGTTTGATGAGTATCCTCATGACCATTATATTGAATACTTTATCAGGCAAATTACTTATCTGTGATTCTTTAGAGGTTTTACTCCTAAGTTTTTTATACTTTCATTGGAACCATATTTCTGTGTTTCCTCATTTGTTTTATTTTCTGTGTTTATTTTTAAGGATTAGATAAAGAGCTACCTGTCCTGATGGAGTGGCTTTTGAAGTGGTTGCTTAAGGCACACAGGCTAGCTACAGTGAAGGCATACATAGGCTGAGTTTCCAAGTGCACACCCTGGGGGCACACTGCTAGGCTGGCTGGCTGGGTTGGGAGCCACCAGGGGCATGTGGCTGCAGCAGTGATATGGCAGTTCAGCTGTCTGAGCTTAGAGTGGGTGTGGGCTGAGCAGGCTACAGCACACTATGGTGGCCTTGCACATGAACTACAGCACTTGAATTAAATTTCTGCCCTTGTTATCTGTGGAAAGAGAATGTAAACAATGGCACTTGCTGGCACCTCCAATCCCAAAGAGTTTCCACAGAATCCAAAGAGTTCTCACAGTTTGTCAACCTACTCTGTGCAATCTCCTTGCTTTTGTTCTGCTGAAGCTGCTCCATCAACCCTCAGTTATTTTTCAGGAGAATTTACTCTACATGTAGGTGTATATTCAGTGTGTTCATGCATGAATGTGAGTTCATGGTCTTTTTATGGTGACGTTTTGGACCTCTCTCCCTAAATCACTCTATACACTTGGAGAATCACTATAATTCATGAGTCTGCTATTATTATCTGAAATTTCCATGAAATAGCTGTAAGATTCCTGAATTGTACTTGTATTGGTAGTTATCAGAGTGACTATTTTTCTGGCTTATTTACAAATGACACCTTTTGTTCTGAAATCATATTCAAAATGGATGATTTAGTAGAATGTGTTACATGTAACTAGCTATGAGGGGCCCTCATCATCACCTCACTGGGTCCCCCAAGGATTGCCTGCCCCATGGTGGGAGAGGTACAGCTGGGCATTCTGCAGCAGAGATCTGGTCACCTTCTTGAGTAGCTCAGTTCAAGGTATATGAAGTTCCTGGTAAAGTCATGTTCACCCAAAGTTGTTTCAGAATTACTGTGTTCCCCAATCTTTATCAGTTTTCAAATTTTATTACCTTCTGTACTAGAGAAATTTCTAATTGTTCAATGTACTTACTACACCCTCACTCCAAATACGTAAAAAGTGAAAAGTTTAAAGGATATCTGATCAAAATGTCATACTAATTTCTTCAGCCCCTCTGATCATTTGTTTTAAGTTGTTGTCTCTCTCTGGAAAATAACCCCACCCTTCTAACATGAAAAGTTTAATTTTTCATTCTAATCATTATTTCATGCTTTTGTTTTAAAAATTAGTGTACAATTGACATAGAACATTCTGTAAGTTTAATGTTCACAGTATTTTGAGTTGATTCATTTACATATGATAGTATGATTATCACCTTAGCATTAGTGAACACATCCATTTGGCCACATAGTTATCTTTTAGTGTGTGTGGTGAGAACACTTAGTCTCTAGACTAAGAATACATCTAGTCTCTAGAAACTTTCAAGTATATAATAGAGCACTGTTGGCTATAATCACTACATCTCCCGAACTTAATCATCTTTGAGTTGCAAGTTTGTACCCTTTGATCAACTTGTTCTTCACCTCTCATGTCCTTTTCACCACTCCATGGTAATCATCATTCTACTCTGTGTTCCTATGAGTTTGCCTTTTTAGATTCCACATGTAAGTGTATGACACATTATTTGTCTTTTTCATTGTGACTTATATCACTTAGCATATTGCCTTCATGGTCATCTGTGTTGTCCCAGATGGCAGGATTCTACTTTTTCTCAGGGATGGATAATATTCTGTTTTGTGCGTTATGTCTCAGTGTGTAGCTTACATCTCTTTACCCATTCATTTGTTGACAGACACTTAAGTTGTTTCCATTTATTGGCTATGGTGAATAATGGTGCAATAAACATGGGTTCACGAATCTATTTTAATATCCTGTTTTTCTTACTTTTGGACATATACCCAGAAATGGGATTTTTGGATCATATGGCAGAACTTTTTTAATTTCTCAAAAATATCCATACAGCTTTTCATGGTGGTTGCAATGATTTTACATTTCTACTGACAGTACACAGGGTTCTGTTTTCTTCTAGATCACTGAGTTTTTTCACACAGCTAGTTTAAAATTGTTTTGGGTGAATTGTTTATATCCATGTTTGTATTTGGTTGCTGGAGGATTAGTGTCAAACTTTGTGATCCAATTTTTTGTTTTTTCATGTCCTTTAAAGTTTCACATTGCTGGTTTTTGCATTTGAATTAGCAGTCACCTACTTTTCCTCTTTACTGCTTTCAAGGTAGAAATACCTTTAATCAATACTGACATAGATAAGGCTTTTTCAGACCTTGTATGAATATGCCAGCTCCCTGCTTCTGGCTCCCTCTTGTGGGTGAGTTCTCAAATCTGGATGTCCTTCCTCCATCCTGTATAGCACCAGACCAGATTCTGATGGCCTCCCTATTTTCCTGAAGGTGGTGCTAGAGCTCCAGTTTGTGGTGTCTCTTGTGAGCAAACTCTTGCCTGCATTCTGCTCTTGATCTGAAGCCTTCTCACAAATCCTGTTCTTGCTGCTGAGCTTAGCAGTTTGTACAGGAAGCTGAGTGTAGAGGGCAGGAAGTATAGGTTGGAATGCAGTTCACTTTTGGTGCCCACAGCCTAGTTGGGAGATCTGTAAGAGAGGTTTTCTTCCTAGTTTGTGGTCAGGCTTCCTGATGGAGGAGGGAGTTCAATCAGGAGAAACTGTGTCTCTTTAATGTCCTCTGGGAATCTTATGTGCTATTCTCCCGATCTGTTCCCTTTCACTTTTACTGAGCTCCTCATTTAATATTCTGGATGCTGTATAGGAGACATGAGCCCTTTGGAAGCTCATTTCCAAAGGGCTCATTAGCATACTAGGGAAAGCTCACCCTCCACTGACTCACTTGTCCTATCCCCTGTTGGAGAAATCATGAGCTCTCTCTTAGCTTTAAATGGTGTTGTCTTGGAGGAGGAGTGATGCTGGAAAAGTCAAGCTTCTCTCTACCTCATACCAAAGCATTTAAATGTATGTGTTTTGTACTCCAATAGTGTGTTGGAACTTCTCCTCTGGAAATCTGGACTTCTCCATCAGCTCCCTAAGCCATAGGTGACTGCTCAAGTCAGGATTTGTACATGCTCCTGGACTGCAGCCACAAGGGGCTAGAACAATTGACGATACCCTGTAGGCATCACAGCCAGTACTGATGTCTCTCTGCCTATTACCTGATGTACAGGTAGGTGAGATTCTTTCCAGGTCCCTTGGCATGTAATGCTGGATCCCACCTTCCACAGAGACATTTTGTTCATGGATAAATAACACCTTTTTGTTCTTGAAGGGGACAGAAAAAGGGATCTATTATGCACACTTATGCCTGATTGCTGTCATCACTCTTGATGTAGTGTGATCCATTCTCATGGGATATTCTCTAACATTATAGTAGCATTGTGTTCTTTCTTTATTATAATACTTTTCACACAATTTTTATTACTGGCTTATATGTTTTCAAGTGGAATATCTTTTGTGTGAGAGCAAAAATTGTGTCTGCTTCTCTATATACTCATCACTTATCCTTGCACTATGCTAGCGACATTAAAATTATTCTTTGAATTATCACTGACACTTTCTTATGTACTGAATTAAGAAGGCCTCAGTTTAACTGAATTGATTTCCAAAGTCTCCCAAGTATAGCTCTTTATTCTGTAATGATAATGACATTCAGACTCTTGTAATAATATAGGAATATATGAGTTTCTAATTGTGATGTTATTCTCCTTATATTCCCATATCTTTCTCAGTGTGATAAGACATTCTAAATGAAGAACACAGAATCATTACTACTAAAAATGCAAAGTAAACAAAGTAAAGCAAACATGGATAGGTTTACCTTAGGCAGAGGTTTGGCAGGCTTGCAGTGGAGTCCTCCAACAAATTCAAAATGTGGCAAGAGTGGGCGAGGAAATTCAAAATCCCAATAGGTTCGAATGAGCCACATTTCAGCTTTCCCCATCAACTCAGATAATGTTGTGGGTCTTCCTGAAAGGAAAAAATCAAACAGAAAATCGATCAAGTGAGAATATTGTAATATGAATATATAATATAGTTTTCTGAAAAAGCTTGGAATAATGTAACCAAAGATCTTTAAACTGTTGGTAGTTTTATAAGCTGACATAACTATATAATATACATACCTTATATTATGGTGTTTATATATATGAACTATACTTATGATAAAGTGTAATAGTTTTTCTTCTCTAACATCACATCAGTACATTCACAATCATAGAAAATGATTAAACTTAAGCAACTATAGACTTACACACATATTTACTCTGTAAAGCTGCAACTGTAATAGATGCAAATATAAACAATGGTTTCAACTCCTCAATCAATTAATTCTACCATAGCCATGGAAACACTTTTCGCTAGATTATTTTGTGTGGTTTCTACAATTTAGCAAGCAATTTACTGGCACTATAATTGTATTTGATTTATTTTAGGAGCTTAATAATTCTTGTACATTAATAAATATATTTACAAATAACTGCTGGATTATTTGGATTATTTTCATAAAGTATAATAATAGATGTCTTCAATCTTAATTTTGGCTAATTTTGTCTTTAAAGGAAGAGTTTTCACAAAGTATGTGGGTTGGCCCAAAGGATTGTTTGTTTCTTTTTTTCCTTAAGATAGCTCTAGTAGTGCTTAGTTGTCTTTAACTTCATTTGTAACAATTATGTTAGATTATATTGTGACAGCTGTCATTTCAGTGTGCATTTGAAAAACTCAAAAGTGGTGATTTCTTCTGTAGCCCTTTTAATATTAAAGATGGAAGACAATAAGCAACATTTTGGCATATCATGCATTTTTTTTCAAGAGAGGTAAAAATGCAACTGAAAGATAAAAAAATTGTATAGTGTATGGAGAAGGTGCTGTGACTCATCAAATGTGTCAAAAGTGTTTTGCAAAATTTTATGCTGGAGATTTCTTGCTGAACAATGTTCCACAGTAAGGTAGACCACTTTAAGTTGATAGCAACCAAATCAAAACATTAATTGAGAACAATTAACAGTATACCACATGGGAGATAGATGACATACTCAAAATATCCAAGTGAAGCACTTAAAATCATTTGCACCAGCTTGGTTGTGTTAATTGCTTTTGTGTGTGGGTTCCACAGAACTTATGTGAAAAAAGCCTTCTTGACTGTATTTCTGCATGTGAGTCCCTACTTAAATGTGATGAAAGCATTTGATTTTAAAGACAAATTGTGATGGATGATGAAAAGTGGATACTTTCCAATAATATGTAATGGAAGAGACTGTGGGGCAACCAAAATGAACCACCCACCGCACCAAAGGCCAATCTTCATCCAAAGAAGGTGATGTTATGTATATGGTGAGATTGGAAGGGAATCCTCTATTGTGAGCTCCTTCCAGAAAACCAAATGATTAATTCCAGCAAGTACTGCTCCCAGTTAGATCAACTGAAAGCAGCACTTAATGAAAAGCATCCAGAATTACTCAACAGAGAACACTAAATCTTCCATCAAGATAATGCAAGAACACACATTTCTTTAATGACCAGGCAGAAACTTTACAGTTTGGCTGGGAAGTACTGATTCATCTGCCATATTCACCAGACATTGCACTTTCAGATTTCCATTTATTTAGGTCTTCACAAAATTCTACTAATGGAAAAAAATTTCAGTTATTTGGAGGACTGCACAAAATGAATGGAACAGTTCTTTGCTCAAAAAGATAAAAAGTATTGGGGAGATGGAATTATGAAGTTGCCTGAAAATGGCAGAAGGTAGTGGAACAAAATGGTGAATACATTATTCAGTAAAGTTATGGGTGAGGAAGAGGCATGATGGTGGAGGAGTGAATGGAAGCCATACTGACCTCTTCCCAGGACCAACCTGAAATTAAAACTAAATTGTGAAGAAATCACCCAGAACAAACAACTAAACAGTAGTGAGAGAGAAGCCTTATAACCTTGGACTGAGAGAAGAATTATCTTCAGCATTAACTGACTGATAAGGACTGTGGTGGTGACTCAATAGGGCTGGCTGGGCGCCCACAGGTGGCAGTGCTGGAGGGATAATGAAGCAACTGGTTGGATCCCCTGAGAAGCGTAGGGTCTAATCCCTAAGCTGTGATCTCCAGACTAGAACACTAGAGACCAAAGAGTATACAGGTAACAACTGGCAGTGAAAAGCGGCAAGGTTGCTATATGGCAGGTATGGACAGATGGAGATTCAAAAGATCCATTTAAAAAGCCAACACACAAACTTTCATTTACAGCCACTTACCCAGGGCTCTGGCAAAGGTGATGGGCAGAGTAGGCTAGAGATGCCCGAGGAGATACTTGGGACAAAAGCTTTGGGGAGAGAACTGAGAAAGTATCTGCTGAGATCCTCATGCTGAGTCATTCCCTATACTGCAGCAGCCATTGTGCTCAGACAGACCACTCCCCTCTGAGCAGCAACAGCCTGTGGAGGAACATTAGCCCCAATCCAGGAGGAAATATGCCCTTCCTTACGGGACATAAGCCTGACTGCTGAGTGTAGAATGACTAGATTAACAATTGAAGGACATAGAAAGGGACAGTAGATCCCTGGAAGTCTCAAAGAGGCTATCTAAGGTCAGATGGGGTCAATATCTTATATCACCAGAGGTGGATCCCGAAAGGAGAAACAGTGGTAAATACTGGAGGTACCAAGAGGAAATCCACTGTGGTCTTCTCCATGATTAGTGATATTTTCTTTCCTGCATAGCTTTTTAACATTCATTTCTTATCCATCAAGTTTGTACATATCAAGTCACTAGATTTTACACTGCAGGTTATTTCTCTCCTTTCTTATAATAGTCTTAATCTCTATACTCCCTTATCGACTGGGTCATTTGGTGTTGATAGTGGGATGTCAGGAGTGGTTGATATTTTGGGGAATGTGGTTTTGTTCCCTGGGATTTATGGTTTTGTTTTGGCAGTACTTGAACAACAGAATGCAAGACATGGTGGGCACAGTGATCCTTAGTCAACCAGGAAGAGGGAAGGACTCACCAAAGACCCAACAACAATCAAAACCCAGTTACATCCAGAGATCCAACATAAATGGCATAAAAGGCATCCCAAGAGCATCAAGTTCAGGATATAAAGGAGACAGCACCATTGAATCTCACAGGTCTCCCACCATAGAAGTTCACACAAACAACTCAGAGAGTCAAAACAGGTCAATTTAGGAGCAGAGGGAAACAAAAAAAGTCTCACAAATAATGGGAAGATAAAGAAACCCCAATAAAGGAAAGGAGGAATCCTCAGAAAGAATGCTAAATGAAATAGAGGTAATGAAACTATCAGATGTTGAGTTCAAAACAATGGTTATACAGAAGCTCAATGAGTTCACTGAGAATTATCAAAACCTATAGGGAAGCTACATTTAACTTACTGAAAATGACACCATCATGAAAAAGACATAGAAACAGTCAACAGGAGCCAAGAGGAAATGAAGAATACAATTTTTGAATTGAAGAACAGAGTAGAAGAAATCAAAATCAGGCTAGATGAAGCAGAGGATTGAGTCAGCAAGCTGGAGCACAAGGTAGAAAATAACTCCCAGAAAGGAAAGGAAAAGACTCAAAAAGGGGGTTCAAGAAAATTTAGGACAACATGAAATATAATCATATTGATATAAAAAGGATACCTGAAACAAAAGAAGAGGAGCAAGGGATGGAAAACCTGTTCAAAGGTAATGATAGAAAACTTTCTTAATTTGATGAGAGAAAAGTAACACAAATCCCAGAAGTAAAGAGGGTCTCAATCAAAAGGAACCCAAAGAGGCCCACTCTAAGACACATGATAATCAAAATGGCAGAATTCAAATACAAAGAGAAAATCTTAAAGTCAGCAAGAGAGCAAGAGGGTGTAACTGACAATGGAGCCCCTATCAGGCTAGCAGCTGACTTCTTAATGGTAATGCTCCAAGCCAGAAGGAATGGCAAGTAATATTCCTAGTACTGAAACGCAAGGCCTGCAATGAAGACTACTCAACTCAACAAGGCTCCCAATTAATCTGGAAGGCCAAATAAGGAGCTTCCCAGAAAAAGAAGGCTCAAAGAATATACCCCCTCCAAACCAGCTCTTTCACAAGGTGCTAATGGGACTGCTTTAAGAAAAAGAATAAAAATAGTGAGAGAGAGAAACACAGGTACAAAGGGAGTAAAATAACAATGAATAAGTAGCTATTGATAATACCTTTAAATGTAAATAGATTAAATGCTCCAATCAAAAGACATAGGGCAGCTGAATGGACAAAATCCATGAACCACACACATGCTGCCTACAACAGACCTTCTTCAGAACAAAAGTCCTACACAGACTAAAAGTGAAGGTTTGGAATAAAATATTCCAAGGAAATGGACAAGAAAAAAGTTGGGGTAGCAATACTTATATCAGACAAAACAAACTTCAAAACAAGGGTCAAAAAAAAAAAAGAGACAGACAAGGACACTTTATAATACTCAAGAGAAGAATCTATGAAGAAGACAAACATTATAAACATAAAGGCACCCATCATAGGAGCACCCAAAGGTATAAAGAAAATCTTGGAGGGGTTCAAGAAAGATATACATAGCAACACACATATACTACAGGACTTTAACACTCCACTGTCAACAAATGATAGATTTTTTCAAATGCCATGGAACATTTTTAAAGATAGACTGAATTAAAGAACACAAAACATGCCCTAACAAATTCACGAATATTGAAATCGTTTCAAGCATTTTCTCAGGCAACAAGGGACTGAAACTAGAAACAAACCTCAAGGGAAAAAACTCAAAAACACTCAAATTCATGGGCATTGAACAGCACACTGTTAAACAATGAATGGGTTAATAATGAGATCAAGGAAGGAACCAGAAGGTTTCTGGAGAGAGATGAAAATGATCTCACAACAGTCTAAAATTAGGGGACACAACAAAGGCAGTTCTGAGAAGGAAGTTCATAGCAATACAAGCCTGCCTAAAAGAGAT